CACACACACACTATAATCCCATAAAAGTCCAAATGTTGCACAACTCTGGAGCCTGTCCAGTTGTAACATGTGTGTGCAATTAATACGTAAAGGGGAAATACTACTTCCCCTGGGAGATACCTGCTTACAACACATAAACCTTCTTGTGTTTTTAAAGGAAATCCCTCTAAAAACACAACCTCGTGCACACCGTAGCCTACATTTGCAGTGTGGAGCTCACAGAGCAGAAGCTTCCAAAAACCCAAAATATGACAAAATATATCGTTTTGACTAGCAGGACTGACAAAAACAGACCAGTTGCTTACACTTTTAAAAACAGGTTCTTCATTGACAATGATCTTTAAGATCCTTCAACATTCATGGAACTTTGCGCAAAAGGTTCTTTAGAGTGCACGTAAAAGTTCTTTGGAAATTTAAAATGTTCTTCAAGCTAAGGCCGGGCTCACACTACAGGAGTTTTAGGCCGATTTATCCCCGATTTTCCTTGGTCAGTTTTGAGCCCCTTTTTTTAAAAAAACCCTTTTTGAGAGTGAATTAGTTCAGATTTTCAGACTTTTTCCCCCTCTTTATTGGATAGTAGGGACAAGAAATTACTAGGGAGACTATTGGGACTTCAATGTATACAACCTTTTCTTTGAAAATTGCAGTTTGAAGATCATGTATCAAAAAGGCATTTTGAAAAATACTAGTAAACCAGTTCTGCCAAATTCCAGGGATGAGAAGTTGTAACCTCACTGGTAAATTTGATCGTTTTGATGCTTTGCATGAACACATACACAAAATTACTGGTATGAGCACATACAAAGTCAGGATGTGTTGGTGTAAGAAGTCTGCTTCAGGTTAGTCATAAAGATCTGATGAAGACATCGCAAGTACTCCACAATATTTACGGTAACATTGTCAAACTGGACAGACACTAATGAGATTTCTGATAATTCTAGAACCTAGATGGTTTCTGGATTTTTATCTTTCATTAGTCGGGAGTCCTATAATGTGCAATAATGTGCTTTTTTTGTGGCTGTTTGTATTGGCCTTTTTTTGGATTTATTAAGAACGTTCATAAAAACGTTCTTTCACCTGCAGCCTTTTTCAGTCAATTTTATTGAAATCTAGTTGTTCCCTTCAGCCCTGTGGGTTTAGGGATAACTTGCCTATGGTGGAAAAGGACAATCTCTAGTGAAGTCTTTGTGTCATTTTAAATGAACACCCATCAGTTTTCCAAGAAATAGGCTTCTGAAAATCCACTGACCTCGCAAATACTGCTGTATTACTTTGAATAAAGCTGTCTGCAAACCCACAATTTTGCTGTGCCCAAGAGGAGCATTGCTTACCTGTAGGTGCATCAGTGATCCCATCCTGGCCGTCTTTTGAGAGGTGTGAATTTGCTTTAAACATGTTAATGTCTCTTGTATGTGCGAGTACTGTACTGTTCAGCTGACGGACGCAAGTCCACAAGCCATTGACGTGTTTGTTCAGTCCATCTTTAATTCGTTTGAGACTGTCTGACATTGGCTCAAACCGACCACAAACGCCGTCAATGCTAGCCACGCGTCCATCAAGCCCATCAAGCAAGCCATTCATTGTCCTCACTTGCTCTTGGCTTTGCCCAGAATCCACCTCTAGATTTTCCACCCGTTGCAGGAGCGTTTCAAAACTTATGGACTGATTGAGATCCCTCTTAAGAGAGCCCACCTCGTCCTGCAGGTGCTGCGTGTGTTTCTCCAAGACTTCCAGGCGCTGATCATGACCTAAGAGTAGCTGAGAAGTGCTATTGTCACATTGAACACCACTGAACTTCTCTTCAAAAGTTATTCTTTGGTCTTCCTCTTCCTTAAGTCTTTCCCTTCTCAGTTTCTCCTCAAGATAGAGGCAATGTACATCTGCACTCCTTTCTGCAAGACTAACCCTTGCCTCCAGAGCGTTCCCTTGTGCATTTATCTGTGCAATGGTGGCATTCTGCTCCCTAATGGCATCTTGGAGTATCTGTCGGGTGTCCTTGAGCTTCTGGACCTCAGCATTGTCCAACTCTTGGGTTTTTCCATTAGGAAGCTGGAGACGCAAGTCTTGGATCTCTTTGCGGAGTTCAGTCTCTTTGGAGTCAAGGAGCTCGGCCAAGCTCAAGTAAGAGGTTTCTTGTTCCTCACACTGTTCTTGAACAGACAGCACTTTGTAGTTGCATGCATTCTTCATGTCTGCTATTTTGATGTCCATTCCTTGAAGAAGCTCCTCACGAAGGGCTGAAAGCTTCTCATCGATGTATGCCTGACATGGACACTCATTGGTTGCACCTGTCGAGGAAGGTTGAAGCGGTCTAGTATTGCTTGCTTCTGTTAATCGATGCATCTGTCCATCAATGTTCTGGATCCTCATCTGCAGATCTCGGATGCTATTAGTGTTGGTACCGATGGTGTCGGAAAGCTGGGTAATATGGTTCTGGAGTTCATCAGTGCCTGGTGATGAACGGAGGTCATATGGGAGCGTAATGCTCTCGATTCCACCCGCTTTGACATCCTGTGGCTGTTGCAAATTCCCCAACATGTTTAGAACGAATTTGGTAACATCTTCCTGTAAATCTAGCCGTAGGTTTGCATTGGCTGCCGTCGTGGCTTGCAGGCCGAGTACAGTCTGAGAAAGACGCTCCACTTCTTCTTCTAATGCCTGAACTCGTTGACTCTCGTGTTGACGATCTCCATAATCTCCCAGTTGACGGCTATGATGTCCTTTCTGCCCGGGTTGAGACCATGGATGTGTCTCGGAGAACACTTCTGGTCCTAGAACAATCAAAATCACTTGTACTTGTTTTGGTTCAACAAAAAGCCAATTTCATTTTATGACAACTTCTAATGAAAGGATGTTCAACCAATCAACAACATTGAGTTAGAGGAACATAACTTGTAGCATAAAGACAAATTATTAAATTGATTACTCAAAAAAAAAAAAAATTCTAACTAATTTCAACAATTGAGTGGTGGCGCTATTTCAGCTATAACATCTAGCATAGCACGTTCATTTATTATTTAGTTATTTAGAATTTCTTTTTAGAGTGTACTAATCTAGATCAAATATTGCTTATTTCACTCTTTCCAAATCCAAAGAAATTAAAAACTCTTACCCAGGATGCTCTGTTGTTGGTTGATGCTTGAAAGAACATCTTGATGTGGTTCCTCAACAACACTGATTTTCTGTGGGGTATTTTTCAGCTCGGTACAGTCATGACCTTGATATCCTGGACAGCACCTCCATTCCAGTTCAGTCACTTGTTTGTGGCCTATTTTGTACATGGGCCTCATGTGAGAATGATACCTAGAAAGACAGTTATGGATTATGATGTGAAAAGCTGCTCTAAACTATAAACCAGTTTTTAGATGGGACACGATTCAATTTGAACTATGAACTAAAAGTATGCAGAATGTGATACAATACGCTGTTTTGGACTCAGATTCCTTGTGAAAACTGACACAAATCTCCCACTGTGCAAAGGGTTGAGGGGAATATTAGCCAAAAAAATAAATAAAAAAATACACAGATACACACTTTGAAAGTATACCAACTGGGCACCTTTTGCTTTTTATTTTATTTTAGCCCCTGCACGATATTCGTTCCCACATTTTAGTAAATCGTGCGCACAATTAGATTTTTTTTTTCTGCATGTCATGTGCGGGGCTCCATATTTGTAAAGAATGCTAAAGTGCACTTCTTTTTCACAAGTGTCATTTTGGTTTCATATCGTTTTGAAAAGAAATGCTTAAATTTAATGACTCATGGCACATGGTGTAAACATCAATAAAAGTAAATTAAAAAACAAGCACACAAAAAAAGTTTTTTCATTCTTTTTTCTTACATTTTACAAAAAATGCATTTTAAAATGTATTTTAAGGACAACATGTCATTTAACCTGAACTAACCTTGCCTTGGTTCATAAAAAGTTAATATTATTAGAACTATATGTCTTGTCTCTCTATAGTTGTCTCTGCACATTAAACTGGGAAAGGAGATAATATTTAAACAAACAAAATACGCACTTAAGCTTTAACTACCACATTATAGTGACAGACCACGAAACAGCACATATATCCCGGAAGTTTGCTGTGTGTTTCAGAAGAAGCAAAGTGACAACATTAGTCCTGCGAGATTTGAAAAATGCCACTAATCTGCACTCGGTACACAAAAGGAGGCATTCCTGTTTTAACGATCCATGCAAACATAAACAACAAAGTGCAGAATTACGTACATAATTTATTAGGATTTACTCCAGCAGTGACACACATCTGGAGTGCAGCTTTAAAAGCAGGCGATGTGCACGAACATGTGTGACTTTCTAACTGCAGCATTTCTCATGGATTCTGGACAATTTACACAGGCTACAACAGACTGTTCAGTGTGGCCCCTGGCCCTTCAGAGGTCGTAAATAATTTGGAGACTGATAAAGCAATGACCTGCCAGTCAATGGGTACAATTTAACTGCGCAGCTTATCCTTCAAGGAGCAATTCCACTTCAATCCAGTTCTGATCTCATCTAATCTGATCTCTGGTCACTTCCACCAATAAAAATGTCCATGCAACCCCCGGCCACTGCATGCGCTCTCCAGAGACACTTACATGAGCCGCTGTGTGCAGTCGGGCTGATTCGGCGGACAGGGCAGGAGCTGCGGCTCCATGACGTTTTCGTTCGCCGCCAGCACAGCGCATGTCACGTTCTTATGCACCACAAAAGCACACCAGTTTCTGCAAAAGAGTGAAGAACAATGAAAAAATACACTGTAAAAATAAAATCTACTTTAAGGCAGCAACTGAAATTTGCTGTACAAATAATTTGCAGTAGCACTTTAAATTAGGGAACACTAATCACTAATAACTAGTTGCTAATTAGAGTGCACATTACTAGTACACTGGCTGTTTATTAGTACTTAGAAAGCACGTATTTATGCATGACCATATTTTAGATCCCTTGACCCTACCTATATCTAAACGTAACTACCTTACTTACTATCAGTAAGGAGTTTATTGAGGGAAAACTCTTAATAGTGAACACGTGTTGTCTAATCTAAAGTGTTACCATAATTTCAATTTCAATTATATTAAACTGACTTAAAAAAAAAGAGAGTTGAATCTCATATAACTTAAAAAATGAAGTTGAAATTGGTTAAATTAATTTGAATTGTTAAAGTAATGGAAAAACATATGCTGACTTATTACTGTACACCCAAGAAAAGACCCAGCTAACATGAAATGTTCTCAGAACGTTCTGGCAGCTTTTGTTCAAAGTTATCTGGTGTTTACTAATGTTTAATAATGCAGAAAAAAATGCTATTTAAACATTGTTAATGTAACATTTTCTAAATGTTAATACTTGTTTCAGAACGTTCAGAGAACATTTAAAAGTAACATTCCCAACGTGTTTGCATAATGATACAAGTTAACAACATTTGTATAACCAAGAAGAAATGCTTTTAAAACTCCCCAAAAAATGGAGGTTTTGAACGTAACAGCTTCAGATGAACGTTAGCTAAATGTTCTTAAAAGAGTGTTTTTCTCGTTAGCTGGGCAATATACTTCAGTAGGAATTACTAATTGTTTGGATCAGTAGTAAAGTGAAGAGAATGTGAACTTCCTGAAGTCAGACTGAAGTCATTGTGAGCTTTTAGGTGGTAATTCCTGACAGATTTAGTAGCACTTGAGTCATTATTAGTTGGTTACTATGCTCTTCACTTTAAGAAAACTTTGTAAAACTGGGCCCCAATGTATACCGTTTCAATATGAATATTAACATGAATTTTTCACTGGAGTTTTATCTGTATTTTGAATTATACATTGCATTGTTGCTTTATGGTCAAAGGAGTGTCTGTAAGCTTAACTGATAATGTCCTGGAAGAAAATTACAATGCTTTTCCCGGTTTTCTTTTCTTATAATGTAGAATACAGTTCCAAATGGCTAGCAATTCCTTTAGAAGGATGTGGTAACTAACATTTGTGCCATTACTAGTGAGTCATGATTCTTACAAGAGTAAATGAAATCTTCTAACCATCCATAATGGTGTAGAGAAACACTGAGAAACCATGTATTTCTGGGAGGTTTGCACTCCTAATATTCCTGTAGTCTCCATGACTCTATAGTGATTCAGTGAGAAAATGTCCTAATCTGTCTTCTCTCTAAGTAATAACCTAATAATATTATGAAAAGAACCAACAAAAAAAAGGGTGAAGTTCAATACTGGATAAAAGGTCTAGAAAAACATTTCTTCAGAATTATACATATAGATAGTAAAACTTCGGTAACACTTTATTTTAAGGTGTCCTTGTTACACGTTACATGTACTTACTATTATAACAACAATTAATTATGCATAATTACATGCAAGTAACCCTAAACTTAACCCTAACCATATAGTAAGTACATGTAGTTAATTAATATTACCCAGTACTCAAATGTTACATAATTACACCGTAACAAGGACACCTTAAAATAAAGTGTAACCAAAACTTCTCTTGGAGGAAAGATACAATGTACTAATTATTAACAGTTTACCCAAATCATTAAGTCCGCTAATACTGATTTAGTAAACAATCTGTGTAGGATACTTGTTAACAAATTAAAAAAGTTAATGTAGGGCTAGTCATTTTTTTTAGTTACTGATCAGTTTCGCATTAATTAACAAAGTGCATTGAGGTTTGGTTACACTTTATTTTACAACAGCCTTGTTACAGTGTAATTATTCATTTAAGTACTGAGTAATATTAATTAACAGCATGTACTTACTATATAGGGTTAGTGCATGTAATTATGCATAATTGACTGTTATTAGCCCACTGTAGTAAGTACATGTAACGTGTAACAAGGACACTGCAAGGTGTTACTTAGTAGCTCTCTGGGAGGCATGAAAGATAATTAGCTAATAGTGAACTACTGCTGTACTGTATTACAACCAATGAGGAAACACTAGACAAGAGATGAGCTCTGTCCAGTCACAATCACAACATTTTACCCGAGATTGCGGATATCCCACGTTTTTTCTAATGCCAACTCCATAATAAAAGGTTAGCCTACTTACTTGCTTCGTTGTCTCGAAGCAGAGCTGGAATAAGCACTGCCTTGGAACAGACTATACCTCGAAGGAGTCCCATCAGTCAAAGGGAAGCTGATGAGACTAAAACACAGAAGTGCTGCACAGAAGTGAGCGCAACCTAAGAGGACGCACTTCATTTCCAATCAGCGTGCGCCTTATCCAAGCGTTTATAACAAGCTCAGAGTGCTTTTTTCAGGTTCTTGACAGAGTGGTGGTGATGATGGCAGTGAGATGGGACAGTGGCGACAGTTTGCACGAGCTCCAGCCCCTCCTACTGGGATCAGGTTCCCGGCTTCATCAGTGCTCTCCCAAATACAGTTACCAAAGAACACTGATTAAACTCAGCTTTAGACCTGCACGTGCTATTACAGTTATGCCATTTCTTTAGAACAGAGGCTTTTTTTTTTTAAGAATTCCTGGTTAGAAAATCCAAAGGAACTTATAATGTCTATCAAAAGAACAAGTCCTGGTAACACTTTATTTTAAGGTGTCCTTGTTACACACTTTACATGTACTTACTATTATAATAACAATTAATTATGCATAATTACATGCAATTAACCCTAAGCCAAACCCTAACCATATAGTAAGCACATGTAGTTAATATTACTCAGTGCGTATATGTCTAATTACACTGTAACAAGGACACCTTAAAATAAAGTGTAACCCACTCTAGTTTAGGGAATAATTCTAACTACTCAGTTCTCACTAATTGCATACTCTCACTCCCTTGCATTCGGCCTTTCTAACACACAAAACATGTCTTTCAAAAGTTAAATCAATATTGTTTTTTTTTTTTTTGTGAATAAGTGAGCAAGATGATTTTCACAATTTTTTTTGTGCAAAAACTAGTCTACCACATCCAGTTCTCAAACGTCTTGTGGACAAATATTCTGTGTGTGTTTTATGGCCTTATTTCAGTGACTTACCACGCATAAACATTGTTTTCTCAAAAACACAAACATGTACATTCATGTTGCTTACATAGCTATTATTGTAGCACCGTTTGCGCTGGATACAGTGTAATCAGACTTTAGCCATTAATATGTTTTACTGAGAAAAGCACAAATGTCAGGGCATGTCAAAACTTCTCCAGGGCCCCAAAACCCCCTCAGACCCCAGAGGATTAACTAGCTGCTTATTCGCCTGCATATTATTACTACACTCTAAAAAATGCTGGGTTAAATGCAACCCAGTGCTGGGTAAAATATGGACAAACCCAACAATTGGGTTGTTTTCAACCAACAGTTGGGTTAAATTTTTAACCCAACCTTCTGGGTAGTAACCCAATCGCTGGGTCAAAACAACCCAATCGCTGGGTTTGTCCATATTTTACCCAGCACTGGGTTGCATTTAACCCAGCATTTTGTAGAGTGCAGCATATTGGCTGTTTATTAGTACTTATAAAGCACACGCAATGCCTTAATCTGCATGATCATATTTTAGATCCCCCCCATACATACCCAAACTTAACAACTACCTTACTAACTATTAATAAGCAGTTTGAGGCAAAAGTCATAGTTAATAGTGATAATTGGTCCCCAAACTAAAGTGTGACCCCAATCCTAAATGGTCCAAATGGAGATTTTCTTGAAGCATTTCAATTACAAAATAAAAATTTGACATTATTACAATAGAAATAGATTTTCTGATGAAACCGCACAGATATCCTTTAGAAACACCAGCTTATCGAGTGTATCTTATTTGTGATATTGCGATTTGTAAGTCGCTGGGGTATATTTGTAGCAATAGCCAAAAATACATTGTATGGGTCAAAATTATTGATTTTACTTTTATGCCAAAAATCATTAGGATATTAAGTAAAGATCATGTTCCATGAAGATATTTTGTAAATTTCCTACCGTAAATATATCAAAATTTAATTTTTGATTAGTAATATGCATTGCTAAGAACTTCATTTGAACAACTTTAAAGGCGATTTTCTCAATATTTAGATTTTTCTGCACCCTCAGATTCCAGATTTTCAAATAGTTGTATCTCTGCTAAATATTGTCAGATCCTAACAAACCATACATCAATGGACAGCGCATTTATTCAGCTTTCAGATGATATATAAATCTCAATTTGGAAAAATTGACCCTTATGACTGGTTTTGTGGTCCAGGGTCACATGATTAGAGCAATATTTTTAAATCCCATTATGACAGGTTTCAAATCATGACCGATTCGATCTTTGAAGATTCTGGAGACTAATCTTAAAAGATCATCTGATACAACACAGGACATTTAAGTCATAAAGTAATAGAAAACTATGCATAAATATATAGGCTAACTTTTGGTGTCTACCACACATTTTACGTATTAGTAATGCATATCATATAACACCCTTAAAAGGTATAACAGCACATAGGAAACTAGTATAATATGTAGTACAAAAATATGCCAAAGTTGAGCTTTCCTGTGAACCAAAAAAAAAAAAATATATATATATTTAAAAAAATTCCCATATGGCACTCTGTATGCCAAAACTGTGTGAAACTTTTTTTAACTACAAAAAGTAGTTTATTACATGGAAAAACTGCAAGAACAAGAACAAAAAAGGACATCAGTTTGTTATGATAATGAACGGCTGTCATGCTGAAAAATAAGTCGGACACCATCATACATTATTTCCCACTAAAATAGTAAATGACGAGTGATTTCAGACACTGAGTGTGTGAGAGAGCACTCAATAATGTCCACTATGGTGTCGGTTCCCTCGAATAGTGCACTGCATTAAGGTATAGAGGACGATTTCAGACAAAACAATGGGATGATGTATTTTTGCAGGCCAAAACCCAGAACGAGTAACAGCATCTTAACACTTCTGGCTCCATCGTCCTTAAAGGGTTAGTTCACCCAAAAATGCAAATTAGGCTGCATTTTACTCACCCCCGAGGCATCCTAGGTGTATATGACTTTCTTCTTTCAGACGAATCCAGTCGGAGTTATATAAAAATTGTCTTTGATCTTTCAAGCTGTTTCATGGCACTCAGCGGGTGTTGCATGCATCAGTCCAAAAGAACTTAAATAAAAAGCGCCCATCCATAAAAAAAAAAGTGTCTCACACGGCTCCGGGGGGTGAACAAAGGCCTTCTGTAGCGAATTGATGCGTTTTTGTAAGAAAAATATCCATATTCAAAACGTAATAATCACTGAAATGCCTGAAATAAGGTCTATAAATGCACAATATTTTCATGTTTTATTCTACAACATAAAATACATTAGTAATACCACCTTGTGATTTTATTAAAGCTTTTACTTGTGTCTAAATGGGACTACAGAAGTTGTCGGGACATTAAACACGATCACACCGAACATGTAAACTCATCGGTCGCACTCACAGTGCATTGTTTACAATCGCGCTCTTGCAAACTATTCTAACTCAAACTTCCAGGGGAAAAGCTTTTAAATAAATACTGAAAATGCTTAGCTTTTTATATCTGGTTATTGTATTTAAGTTTCAAAATTTCTGAAAGTTGTGAAGATTATTATCGTGAACAAAATGTGCGAGCATCATAAACGTTTGCGGTCACAGAGCTTATTTTCTGCAATCCTCCAAAAGCCGATGGATAAATCGTATCGAGTTATTGTGGAGGGAACCTGGGTGACGAGAACTTACAAAAATCAGTCATTACATCACCGCAGTATTTTAAAGGCATATGTTTTAATGGAGTATGTGTTGAAATGCTAGTTTAAGCTGTATGCATCCACTACACAGCATTGTGTGCAAAAACCAAAGTATGCACAGGACTTAATAGACACATGTCAGGAAAACAAACCCATCTGAATAGGATTTCGGTGAGAGTATGATTGCTTTAAGTTTTGTTGTATAAAAAGAAAGAAGACCAGACTTGGTGTAAGCGTAAAAACTTTTTTTTTTTCTTAAAGATACAAAATATATTATGGACACAGTCCAATTATTAAACTTTTTTTGCTTTCTGCTTAAATCAGAGAAGTCTGTAAAGAGTGAAAGGTAAAAAAAAATTAAAAAGATTTGCAAAGAACATAAAATATGGAACAATCTTTGACACTCTGGATAAACTCACAAAAAAAACATTGCATCAGCTGTCAGCTTGCGTTACATCAATGAATCTGCAGAAACAAAACAACAAGCTATTAATGTCAGTGAAAAGGCAACAGACGTGGCAGAAACAAACGAATGAATAGCAAAGACGTCAGAGGACTGCTGATGTACCCAGTTTGCGTGTTTTGCGGCGGGCTCTTTTAGCAGGGACTGAGGGCTCGGGCGTTTCTGGCTCAAGTCCTCGTTTCACTCTTGCAGCGTACATTTGCTCAGGAGTTCTGGCTGCAAACACACATTCACACACACATTTCAATCCCTGTCAGCATTTGCATAGACGTGCATAGACGGCTGAAGAATGTGCAATTCTTGAAAGAGTCTTAAGTCCTCAAATATTTCCTTAAGTGTGGTGTTATCTGATTATATGGGGGTTCTTGCAATGATTTGATGATCAACTGAATGAAAAACACCTCAAAGACCGTCTTTTTGCGCTGCCTGCAGGTTACGTAATAATCGTAAGCACATACACTACTTAAGTTGCAACTGGCTTTACGGGAGTTTTGTTTTTTAATGTGTTGTGTATTTTAAATAGCCTGTCTTGATCTGTTCTGCTCTGTTTCTTGTGCTCTAAGAAAAACGATTCTTGAGAAATATTTTTGTGAATACAAAATATTCTGTTTTATTAAGAGAGCAGTTAAGGATAATTTTATGTAAAAGAAGGCTATTTACAGTACGTTAACACCTGTTGCAATGCACAATGCAACGCATTTATGAGCTGCATTACAAATTGCGTTTCTGAATATTTTGAAATCCAACCATCAAAGCATCAATAGCATAAAAGAACGCAAACTTGCAAGAAAACATTCACGTTTTTTATGCTGCAGCCTTATGCTAAAATGCTTTTTTCACACTTAAACCTCATGCATACCTCTCACACTTTTAATCTACTTTATACCCCATAATGACTAAGCAAACAGATCTGTCATAACTTTGTGCCAATCATCAAAAGTCCGGTTTTGCATTCAGAAAGCAACCAGATCTACACTGACGGAAACACATACCGAGAGATCCCTCAAGATCTCTTAACTCTTGCTCTTGCTGCTGGAGCTCTTGTTGTTTCTGTTTCATCTGAGGACTCTGCAGGTGCTCCAAATGACTGTTATACTCAGACCGGACCTCAGAGGCCTTCTGCATTGCAACACGACACTGCTGCAGTAACTCTGCACACACACAACCAAATATAAGACACAGAGATTATGTACAGTTTCCATCCATGAGTATGAGAAGACACATATTGTTCTTAGGAAACTCACATTAAAGGGGTCATATGATGCGATTTCAAGTTTTCCTTTCTCTTTGGAGTGTTACAAGCTGATTGTGCATAGATAAGATCCCTGAAGTTGCAAAGACTAAAGTCTCAAATCCAAAGAGATATTCTTTATCAAAGTTAAGACTGCCACGCCCCCCTAAAACGGCTCGTTCTAACACGCCCCCACATATCTACCTCACTATGTGGAAATATTAGCATAATGCCGCCCAAATGTGCATGCAAAGAAAGAAGGCGTGGTTTCAGTAACCGCAGTTAGTGTTGATGCAGCCATGTCAGGGAGACGCTGTGTGTTTCTAGGCGAAAGCAAAAGCACTTTATTTGGCCTTCCGAAAGTAGATGCATTTAGGAATCTTTAAGATTACTTACAACAGAACAGCAATGCATTTTATGGACGACCGTTTCGTGAACCTAGGAGAGGAGATCTGG